CACCCAGTCCAGTCAGCACCCAGGTCCTGAAGGACACAGAGCACCCATTCCAGTCAGCACCCAGGTCCTGAAGGACACAGAGCACCCAGTCCAGTCAGCACCCAGGTCCTGAAGGACACAGAGCACCTAGTCCAGTCAGCACCCAGTCCAGTCAGCACTCAGGTCCTGAAGGACACAGAGCACCCAGTCTAGCCAGATGCTGTCTTTGCCATGTTCTCAGCTTTAGAGACGGCACCGAGCAGACGCCTGCACTGTCTATTATTTGGTCAGGTGAAAACCACTGCCCAAGGAGTAAGATTGCTGAGTCTGAGCCAGCACAGGTCTGCAGTAACTGTAGCTCTCCGCCCACGACACGGTGAGCAGAGAGTCGTCCACAGAGCTCCAAACACCCCTGCTTCAAGGACCCTACGCGCTTCCTGAGTACCCGTTTTCACATAGGTGTATGAACACTGCATGCGGAAATTTACAAACTAAAAACAGTTTGGGCAACAAGGAGAAAAAATTCTATTTTTATTTTTGAAAAGCTTGATATAAAGACAATGAAAGATAGTCTTACCCCTTTGTGAAACTTGTGCCCACACTTGAGCATACGCATGTTTTTTGACTTGAACATTTCATGGCAGATCTCACAAGAATTTGCTTCTGGTGCCTGTGGAAACAAACATGTTTGAAAAGTTAACTTTTTATGATGCAAGCTCTCATGATTTAGTACACGAGTGGCCTAAAGATGTTTTTGTCACAAAAGGTGGCAGATTATTTTTCAATTATGTTTGAACAGAATGAAAAATGGCATCTTTTAAAATAGTTTCTAAGGGGCTGGAAAGATGGCTGAGCAGTTAAAAGCACTGTTCTTCCAGAGGTCCTGGGTTCAATTCCCAGCACACCACTGTCTGTTACTCCTGTTCCAGGGGATCTGATTCTCTCACACATGCAGATAAGTCACAACATAAAATAAAAATAAAAATTATTGAAATAGTTTCTAAGAAAAAAGCAGAAAATAAGAAATAAAACATAAACACACCTTAACCCCAGTACTTAGGAGGCAGAGACAAGAGAACCTCTGTGAGCCTGAGGCCAGTTTGGGCTACACAGCAAGCTCTAGGACATCCGGGACCACACAGACGGACCCTGTCCCAAAACATGACCCCAGAAGGAAAGTATAAAGTCCTAATTCTCTCAGAGGGAACTGTTTCAACAACTAATGAAGTGCCAGAAAAAAAGCAGAAACAAAACAAAACAAACCTGTAAATGTCTGTATCCCAACACATACTAAAAACATGACAGTATAAACTGCTTAATACGCTCCGGTCAGGGACTTGAACTACGGCATACCCATATACAAAACACTATCTTATGGCCAAGTATAACATTTAACATTGATAAATGGGGACAGAAAGTAGGTTTTAACAGACTACCAGATAAATACAGATGATGACAATATTTATTATGTAATTAATAAAAGTAAATAAAGAGACTATGTATCTATGGATATACCTAGAAAGATTTTGATATACAGAATATTAACAAGGTTACCCCTGGAGAGCACACAGCGTTCTCTATAGGACAGCAGACAAGTCCACCTACAGCACTAGGCCACACCTGTGGGCCACAGCACGCACTTACTTACAGTTGACACTAATTGCTACTTTTATTTAATTCCGAGCATCTCAGAAGCAAGAAAGGAGTCCTGTTGGTGTTGGTTTTCAGCAACACGTGAGGACGATGGCCCCAAACCCATCCATAAGCACTTGCAAGCAACTGCCCAGGGCTCACACTGCAGGCAGGGCCTGGAAGCTGTGCAGACCTTCAACTGCTCTGAGGGGCTTTGCTGTCTTCCCTAAGTGCTGACAGGGCTCAGGCTGATACGAGGCAGAAGCTGCAGTGTGGCTCGCTGTGCTCTACTGCTGCCCAGGACCCAAGGTCAAGGAAGGAAGGAAGGAAGGAAGGAAGCATTAGCCCTAGGAAGTAGGGTAAGGTCTGAAAAGCTCCGGGCAGGATGATCTGGACAAACCTCCAGTTAACTTGGCTCCCAGTGGAGAAGGATGCACATGTCTAAGAACCAACAGCACCCGACCCCCCTCCAGTAAGGATGTGAGATTTATGACTCGTGTGCGTGCACGCATGCATGCATGCGCACCGAGTGGGAAGCCAGAAGTGGGCACTAGGTCCCCCTGGAACCGGGGTCAGAACAACCAAGACCCTCTGCAACAACAGCGTGTGCTTTTAACCACGGAGCAAGTCTGCAGGCCCCGAAATCAGTTTGTGCAAGATTAACCATACATTTGATCAAGTTTAATAAATACAGTGATACCCATGTGGTAACTCTGGTTAAGGGTAGGTTTTGAGACAGGAGCCATAGTGCCTCAAAATCATAGTCCTCCTCCATCAGCCTCCTAAGCAGATGGAGCTGCAGCAAGTTACTCTCTCCAGGCATGGCCAAGCCTGTCTCCAGGTGAGTCTGTTCTCGTCAGGTGACAAGTAATGTTACTCATCACTGAGAGAGTTCCCCCTTGATCTGGCTGCCTGGTCGACTTGAGGGGTGTGCAATGTCCCTTCTAAAAATGCAAATGTCCTGAGAACCCAAATGGCTGGAGGGCCACGAGGATGTGACCCACTTACACCCTGAAGTCAGGGCTGGAGCTAGGTCTTGTGGGAATGCCCTGAGCACCCACGGGCATTCTCATTGGGGAGGTGGCGATGTGACCCTCGGAGAGCTCAGTGGGGAGCTCAGTGTATCCATTTAGACACAGCTACAATAACAATTCACACGTGCTCTGTAAACATAGGAGTGTCTTATTTTCTTAAAGGAAAACAAGACTTAAATAACGTCCAATTTCAGGCCCATCCTGTTAGTCCCTCCTCCAGGCACAGGAGGGAAGCGGCAAGCGGGGCCATGCCACGGCCTCACGGACTGCACCAACTCCTGTCAGAGGACTGGGCGACGTAAAGTCCCTGCTTACCCAGAATAAAGTTATCCAAGCGCTGCTTCTCCACTTGGTAGACAAAATCCACACACCTGACCATCTGCAGCAATAAGCCAGGTTATGCCCAGGACAGTCAGAGCTATTACCTGCATTCAGGGGCTTTTGTCCCGAGTCCCAGATATGAACACATGTTCAAATACAGCCAAGGCTGGTTTCTAATTGTAGTCTTAAATAAAGACAGCCTTAAACTGAAAAGGGCTACACCATTTAAAATTGTTCCCTCCCTGCTCTTCATTCGCGGAAACCAGCAATTCACTTCTCTGCGATACTCACAGGGCTGTCGTCTTTCTTCTGGCCTTTGGTTTTGGACGCTAGTCCAGCAGCTGCCAAGGGTGGGCTCTGGGAGGACCTGGCCACAGCAGCAGCAGAGTGAGCCTCGGATGGCTTCCTGTCTTTCCCTGGATTTGGCTACAGGGGTGAGGAGGAGGACAGAGGACAACGAAGAGCGTTACAAGATGGTCACTGTTTCAGTTCCTGCTCTGCGCACGATGGTGCGGATTGAAGCTTTTTATCGTCACATTTCACAAATGAGCACAAAATGAAATCCTACCTTCTTCTTTTTCTGTTCCTCTAGAATGTGTTCTGTCACTCTCTCAACGATCTCCTCAGTGCTTAATCCCGAGAGGGAGTTCTTGTTTCTGTTTCGAACTTTTTTAATAAAACCAGCAAGCTCAGTGCTGAGAGAAAAGAGTGAGTAAGTGACAATATCAGGCCATCGGCACTAAAAAGTGACCTGCCGATCATAGTTAACTGACAAGTGTACAGAGGAAACTGTCTGAAGGCACATGACTCTCCCCAGGCAATTAACAGTCTCAGTATTGCATTCAAGAAGTGCTTCAGCAGCTAGAGTCCATACCGCACTTACAGAGAACTCACTCAGTTCTCAGCCACCACCAGGAGGCTCACAACCACCTGCTCCAGAGTATCCATGAGCACCTACACCCACACCCACACCCACACAGATGCACATAACTAAAAAAAATTAAACAAGTCTTTAAAACATTTCAATATTACATGTCCTGTTTTTGCAACAGGGTCTCACTGAATAGCCCTGGATAGCCTGGAACTCACTATGTAGACCAAGATGGACTCAAACTCACAGAGATCCGCCTGCCTCTGCCTCCAGAGTGCTGGGGTTACAGGTGTGCGCCATGGTACCTGGCTACTTTTATTACTGTTTAAAGGTCTGTGTATTTACTTCTTTATCTGGATGAGTGATTTGCCTACACGCATGTGTATGTGCCATGGTGTGCCTGATGCTCGTGGAGGTTGGACGTTGTCTCTGGATTCCTGGGGCTGAATTTACAGAGGGTCATGAGCTGCCGTATGGGTGCTGGGATCCCTGGGTGAAAACAAGAGATGCTCTGCCAGGTCTCCGTCCTCAGTATTACTTTTTTTATTTTATTTTATTTTTTTTTAAGAATTTAAAAACTATTATTTCCAGAAGATCCACAAGGGACAGCCATCCTTATTTTAGTAAGTGGCCTTGGGGTAGGACAAATATTCCCACTTTCAGGAGTCTAGACATATTTCTGTTTTGTGTGTTTGGTTTTTTGAGTCAGGGTCTCACTATAGAGTTCTGGCTGTCCTCAAACTTACTATGTAGACCAGGCTGGCCCTGAACTCACAGAAAGCCAGAGTCTGCCTTTGTCTCCAGAGTGGTGGATTAAAGGTTTGTGTCATTAAGCCTAGCTTTCTATTTGATTCCTTAAATGGCCAAGTTAGTAAGCCTGAGACAACTTTATTTGTAATTTTTGGAAATTACAACCTTAATGTTTTTTAGAAACTGGTGTGACAATTGCTACTGAGAGAACTTGCATTATACCTGAAATGTAGTTGGGGCAAAGCATACTCACGTAGAAAATATACCCACTTCAAATGGGCAGGACTCCACTAAGACGTAAAACATCCTCTGGCTAGTTTGTGTGTGTGTGTGTGTGTGTGTGTGCGTGTGTGTGTGTGCGCGCGCGCGAACAGAGCCAGAGGTCAAAGGTCAACACTGGTGTCTTTGTCAACCATTCTCCAGCTTATTTTCAAGCAAGAATAGGGCAGACATCCTATGAGTGCTGCGGTCTGCCTGTCCGTCACGTGGCTCTTATGAGAGTGAAGGGATCTGGACCTTGGTCCTCATGCTTGCACAACTGTACAACTAGTACCTCAGCAAGGCAAGTCATCTCCCCGACACTTTGCTCTATAGCCAATGCAGATCCAAGGGCTGCTCTGTAGATAGCCCTGTGTTCTTGGGGGTCCCCAGCCCTCACCTGTGTCTCTTGCTCTGACTGAGAAGCTGGCATGGACTGAGGCAGGAGCAAACACACTCAGCTTAAAAACAGCTCTTGCCCAGTCAAGCACAAGCAGCTCTTCCTGAGGCTCACACAATCCTTTTTTAACACGTGCACACATCTCACTATTGAATTCAATCTAGTCTTTTTACCTCGCACCTGTACCAAAGCAGACTTGGTGTTAGTGTTCTGTGCTTTGTCGTTCCTGTATGGGACAGGGCTATCATTTCACAGCTCTCACTGACCCCGTAACAGCGTTGGCAAGTTACGGAGCTCAGGTCTCAGGTGGCTGTGCTGCTGCGTCACTCTGTGCTCAGTGCTCTCCATCTTGACAGGAGTATTACATTTACTTGTGGCCGGGGGTGTGCACTGAAGTGTTGGAACCTCGGCCTCACGTGCACAAAGCCTGGGTCAGTGTCCAGCACCACCTACTATGATCTCAAGAAGCAAGAGATGGAGTGGATATCGTTCTCAGCAAAACAACTAACAGTCCTTGTCTCCTTAGTCCCTACTTGGCCATGGTGTTATCTGACCAACAAATAGGTCAATCAATGGGAAGGCATGGTGGCACACACCTTTTATATCAGCACTCGGAGGAGAGGCAGGTGGATCTCTGTAAACCCAAGACCAGACGGGTCAACATATTGAGTTACAGGCCAGCCAGGGACACAGAGTGATGACCCCCGCCCCCCGCCACACTTAATACAGCAGTTAATAGTCACGCACCTGGCATAACTGGGGAATATCACTGACAGATGTTCAATAATGCTGTTGAACGGCTTTTTTGGAGACTGGTTTGACCACGCAGCCTGCCCAGGTGGTTTCTCATCAGCCTCAGGGCTTGGTTCTGATGGAGACACCTGGCTAGCCCTCTTGAGCTCTAACTGTTGCGCATATTCAGGCCAACAGGTGGGCGAGCCTGGCGATAGTTCAGGAAGCTCCTCTGTGTGGCCACCAGCAGGCTCCACGTCAGAGTCCTTGTAGGCTGCTCCAGGCACGCTGTCTCCAGAGGCCAGCAGCCCGAGGTCCTCATGGCACGAGGACTCAGAGGGGAACTGAGGGCGAAGCTGTTGAGGGAAGACAAAAGAGCTGGGTCCCTTAGGGCTCAGGGCTTGCCTTGAGCCAAGGAGGAAAACTAAAAGCGGCGTGCACACCCACAGGTAGTGCTCGCTCAGCAGGCTTGAGTACAGGGTTGACGGTGAGCGAGTCGGTCATCGCACCCCGACAATACACGTGTGGCGTGCCAACAACTGCCGTCTTCTCTGTAAACCAGAAAAAGTGCCCAGGGGACAGCACTCCCGCCACTCGGCTAACTGACCAGGGCTACCTGCCAGAGCATCCCCAAAGCTGTCACCACCCGGCCAGAACAGCGAGGCCCAGCAGTGCCGGCCCCTTCCTCTTCAAAATGTGCGCTCTCTGCAGGGTCCACTGTACAGCTCTTTGGAGCTCTTCTTACACACCTCACACTGCTGAAGGTCCACATCTCAAACCTATGCTCCTCTCTCCCCAGCCCACCTCTTCCTTGTAGAGTAGAGTATTTCCTGAGACTCTTATCTGCATACCTGCTGTGTGATCTGGGGAGACCAACCTCAGTGTGCTCCACACCAGGCTCAGCAGCTGCCTCCTCACCCGCCCTCCACCTACATTTCCCACACTCTCACTCCCCAGGCTGGCGAGCCACACAGGCCTCCTCCACGCAGCACTGAGGGCAGAGCCTCGCAGAGCCTCGCAGAGCCACCTGGCCTTACACCCCCGCCTGCTCCACCTGCTCCACCCTCATTATTATAAAGGAGTTCTGTTCTACACACTCATCCCTCACAAGCCCTGACTGGAAACCCAAACCAAAGCCTTCCCAATGGCCTAAAGACCAGCCCAGACTCTGGCCTGCCCGGCCCTTGATGGTTCTGCCACGCCCCGAAAGAGCAGGTGGTGTGTAAACTCCCACGGGCTTTGGCCACTGCGGCACCGGAGCCCTGCAAGCATCAGACCCACCCCCGCCCTGGTGCTGCCCTCGCCCCTTCCTACCTAGATGAGGGTCTATGTCACTAAAGCGCTCCCACTTAGCGGCTAGGGAAAATCTCAGGGGTTTGTTTGCTTTGCTGTGTGTGTGTGTGTGTGTGTAGCTGTAGCCTTATGGTCTGTCTTTTCCTAATCCCAGCACTCTGACAGCCCAGCCCACATTTAATCTTGATCACTACCAAATACCTAGTGAACAGAAGAGGGAGAAATGAGGCAAAAAATGTCTCCAAGAACACTTTTTTACACAAGTTCCTGGTACACTGAGAGGTCTCAAAAGTTTGAATATGAAAATTTTTTGAGTATTTATAAAATTATATAAAGTAAAATCATTAGTTAATAGTAAAATATTACACTAAAAGCCAAAATTATTTTCCTTCCATATCTGCTATAGGAACTTGGGAAACACAAAGTTGAGAAGCGACCTCTAAGCGTAATGAAAAGACCTTCCTTGTCACTGACGTAGTGCAGAGAGAAATGCGATCACGGAGCCACCCCTAACACACTCATCTTTTAAGGGTCTCGTTTTTGTGTCATGTGCGCAAACGCTTGGCTTGTGTGCACGTCTGTGCGCTGTCTGACTGGGGTCACAGGTGTTGTGAACAAAATGTGGGTGTGGGACTCAAACCCGGGTCCTCTGGAAGAGCAGCCAGGCCATTAGGCACTGAGGCTTCTGGACTGAGGTGACCTCTGGCACATGATAAAGGAGCAGGGGAAGGGGAGCGGTAACAGCCAGGACCTCTCAGGTGGAGGCCAGAGGACAGGACAGCAGGAAGGCGCACGGCACCAGGAAGGCAGGCACGAGGACCTCAGCGACATGCCAACATCTTGAGGTCCACCTCTAACTGACCCTTAGAGCTGGGATTCCTACAGCCTCATCTTTGCTGTGTCTGAATCACAGAATGCAATCAAGGGACAACTATGGTTAGCCCGTCTACAAAATTGACAACACAAAATGACTGATTTTTTAAAAGCACTTTATAATAAAAAGATAAACTCAGCAAGCATTCTTACCCAAAAGACTGAGGACATACTTCAAATTATCAATCAAATATGATACTCCAGACTAATAAAGTCCCGCATGTTTTCTAAGCACCAATGTTTGCCTGTATTTGACGAAGAAACAGACTAAACTCAAGACTTTCATGCCTCCAACTACTAGAAGTTTAATTCTAGGTGGTGAAAGAGACGGCTGCTTCAGCCACACACACCCGCTACCCCAACTGCCTGTTTACATGCTAGACTTCATGTCGTTCATTGTCTGTCTGTCAGACACACAGACACACACACACACACACACACCCTACAGCAAGGAAAGAAAGAAAACAGACACTAAGGTACATGAAGCAGAAATCAGGGTGTCTTAGTCCTGTTCTCACACCTGGCTGTAGAACACAGATCCATTTATGTTACAATGTTTAAAGCTTTGGAAAAGCCACAAGCAACACCAACCTGGAAACATTAAAACAAACCCATGCCCATTTTCAGAAAACAGTAAAAACAAACCACTTTGGACAGTTAAGAGAAAAACCCTGATGTGACCTACTCACCATCAGACAAGCAGGAAATGAAAGCTCAGAAATCTGCACTTTGGAAAGTTCACTGAGTCGAGAACCATTTTTAATGGCCTTAATTTGGTCTTCAAACTGAGACTGTTGGAAGAAGGAAAAATGTGAAGTTTTTCTAACTAATTCCAAAAGAAAATCAATATCTGCAATTAATACTTTTTATCAGACAACTCATATGACCAAGAGTTTCCCAAGAAACATAAGTGTGGGGACAGGCTGAAGATGTCAGTGTCAGGGTAGATCCCCCAGGCTGGATCACTACAGCAGGACAACTGTTTCTCAAGAGAGTGAGCAAGGGAAATCTCATCCTCCAAATGCTGGGAAGCCTCAGGAAATTCTTTCTTTTCCCTCTCTTGGTGCTCAGAAGTGTGTACAGGGCCTTATGCATGCTAAGCAAAGGCTCTAAGATAATTAAGAAAATATCACTGGGTCTGGAGAGATGGTTCAGAGCACTGGCTGTTCTTCCAGAGGACCCAGGTTCAATTCTCAATACCCACATGTCAGTTCACAACTGTCTGTGACTCCAGTTCCAATGGACCTGACACATACACACCGGGAAAACACCAATATACATGAAATTATATAAAAAAATATCACTAATTTCATGACAAATTCTAATAATTTCAAAAAGAACAACAACAACAAAAGAAAAACCACTGAGACATTAAAAGAAAAAAAAGGAATGATTTAACTATGACATTGGTCTCTTGAGAATGAAAACCACCATACTGATTTTGGTAGAATTACGACATGTTTTCTAGCTTACCTTTGTGTTCTCCATTTCTTCTCTTATATTAGAAAGAAATGATTCCCATGAATGTGTATCACACTCCATCTCAGGAGATGCTGCAGAATCACTGAAAAATATCAGAAGTAGAAGACTGCTTAATACCCCTTCTACAGACGGAAAAATCAAAAGAACTTAAAGGCAAACACAAACAAACACACAATGAAAAGTGTTTTTTCAAAATGTAAATTTTGGACCATGTATGGTGATGCACACTTTAGTCTCATCACTGGGGAAGCCGAGATTCTTAAACAAAAAACTATTTGTAACTGATAGCCAATGTCAAAAAAGAAAATCAGTTGTCCTCAATGGCCAGTGGGTATTTCATCCACACCTCAGGACAGACCTCATGCCCAGGAGTGGCTGGCCAATGCAAAATGAACTTCATGGTTTCATTTTTAGGCTATTTTGCTATTTTTGTGTGATAATGGTCTCTTAGCTGTTTGTTTTGCATTTCAACTGTGTGTGTGTGTGTGTGTGTGTGTGTGTGTGTGTGTGTGTGTGTGTATGAAAGGGAGGGAGGAAGAGAGAGACGGAGGGGAACATAAGGTTGGGTGGGAAGGGAGGTGGGGAGGTTCTGAGAGGACTTGGTGAAGGGGAAAAATATTTTAAATAACTGTTTTTTACTTCAAGTGCTTCTAACTTTATTTTCCAAATGCCATGATGGGAAGAAAACTTAAGAGACCATGGTACCTGCTCATCAGCTTGAGGTTTTTGAGATAGGCTTCTGCTTGTGATGCCATACCCTGTAATTTACATACTTCTTGTTCCTTCCAGTTTTCAAGCACAGACACCTGTCCATACATTAAAGGATACATATATATTATAAGACAAATGAAAATGTGAAACTATTCGAAAAATTTACATGTAAACATTATAAACTACTTTCCAGTTTCCTCTTTTTTAAATAATTTATTTAATTCTATATGCATTGGTGTTTTTGTCTGCATTCATGTCTGTGTGAGGGTGTCAGATCCCAGACAGCTGTGAGGCACAACTGTGTGGGACCTGAACCCCAGTGCTCTAGAAGAGCAGCCACTAAGCCATTTCTCCAGGCCCTCCTGTTCTCTCTAAATAAAGTCTGATGACAGACTCATTAGAACATGACTATGTTGTAATTTTCCCAGGAATAAAACTTGAAGATTTGAAATTGACACCAAAAACATCTGCATTGGTGCCATGAAACTGTGCCTTTCAGGCCAGGTGACCTGCTCATACAGGGCACGGTTCACGTCCCCATCTTCCTGCCACGCCGTCTGCTTCCCCTGCAAGGTACTGGCCGCTGTGTGTGAATCCCTGCAGGAGATGTGACCCAGGGGTCAACACCTGGGCAGGGCCCTCCAGCCATGCCTGCTGTAAGCAGCACAAAGCAGCAACAGGCCGAGGAAGCTGGCGCTGGCGCAACACTGCACCCTGGCCACTAACTCAGAAGCAGCCGTGTGGCTGACAAGTGACCGGGGATCGCGCTACTTCTAGCCTGGCCAAGTCACTCCTTTTCTCGCGTCCCAGAAAAATCACTGATACATCCAATATTAAGTAGAACTTGGTCTCAAGTAAGGATCACAAATTACATTTTTGAAACTAAATAAAATAAAGCCAGCTGCAATACATATCCATTTTTCTTTGTTTCAGTTGTTCAAATAGTAAACCAACATTAATGTGTGTCTCTCCATGGGGACAGAGGAATACCAAAAATGCAAACACCCAAACACACACATATATATTTCTTTTTCTTTTGTATTTATGGGTACTGGCCTTGAACTTGAAACTTTCCCTGGTATATCTGAGATTAGAACTATAAGTTACTCCCCTTGTCAGGAATATATTTTCTTAAGTAGGTTCTGGTGCAAACACAAATGGAGACCAAAGGACAATTTTTGATGTCATTTCTCAAGTGCCACTTACCTTTTTTTGTTGTTTAGGACAAGGTTTCTCACTAGCCTGCAACTTGTAAAAAGGTAATACACTGGCTTGCCGTAAGGCTTAGGAATCTGTCTCTGCTTTCCAATACCAGCTTTTTAATAAATGAATGAATGAATGAATGAATGAATGAATGAATGCATGCATGCAAATTCTAGGAATGGAACACAGGTCCTCATTGTTTTTCAGCAAGCACAAGCACTTTACCAACAGAGGGGGTTCTTTTAATTTGCTTTTAAAGGATTAGTTTATAATGGCGTATCTCATGGTATATCACCTGATTAAATGTGATAAAGATATTCCATGAAAAGCATGTGAAATAGTTAAATTATTAAGTTAAATAAAAGTTACAAGATTTGATGTATTATTTATGGGTACATCTCTGAAATAAGTGTAAAATTTTAGGTCAAGCATGAGGCCCTGGTGCTGAGAAGAAGGAATAAAAACTAACCATCATCCTTGGCAAAGAAAAGTAACAATTACTTTCTTCAGAAATTGGACTATGGATGATAGCCCTTTTCTCAGCTTCCCAGTTTCCATAACGGCATTATGCTAACAAGGGAAGAAACACAGAAGACAACAAAGGACCTCGGCCGAAGCTCCTCGCAGTGTCTTACCTCTGCAGCCACAGCTCTCTGACGACTCTCTTCGTAACGCTCTTTCCCTTTTTTGATACACTCTTCTACTTTCATCCTCTCATCGGTGAGTGCACTACTGTGAATACCAAACAAAATCACAGCACATTTCAGAATAACGTCTTGCCTCATAAGCTATCATACAGTTCAGACTCACTGTTCTCCCTGCATTTTACAAGTGAACAAAGGAAGACAAGAAAAAAAACGGAGTATCTGGAGTAAGTGCAGAGGAGCACATGAAGGCACTACCCCAGTTTACTGGCTGTGTGTGTGTGTGTGTGTGTGTGTGCGCGCGCGCGCGGGGCAGGTGTTCACCCCCCCCCCCCCCATCTAGGTACAGATGAAGATGGCTGTCTGTGGAGGCCAGAGGTTAACTTTGAGTGTGAATCCTCAGGAACTGTCACTTTGCTTTGTTATAGAGAAAGCACTTTTTAAGAGTTTAAGTTAGCCTGAATATAACTCCATTTTGAAATAAAGATCTCGACCAGGAACTGAATTCAGGCACCAGGAACTATCACAGAATGTGCCCTGGCAGAAAACAAAGTTAACTCTCCTAGCAACTTCCTAGCCTCCAGGAAATATAACAGAATAAATGCTTTATAGAAAATAGAGACAAACTCCCTGGCAATAATCAATGAGAAATCGGTTGGGAATCGGGTGGGAAAATTCTCCCAAATGTTTCAGATATGGTTTAGAAAAATAGCCATTGTGATTATATGCCTTAGCCATCGTGATTGTGTGCCTCAAAAAAGGTCACCCCGCCCTGCTAAACTTCACCCAATTCAGTAACGCCAAGGCTTGTGCCCCCCTGCTTGCTGCCATGGAAACCCCCTGCTCATAGACTTTCCCTTTAAAAATCCTGTTCAGAGCTCGGGATCCCCCTTCTCTACTGCTGTGTCAGTGAGACTTGGGTCCCAAGTTTGATTGCTCTCGTAATAAAGCTCTCTTGCAATTGCATCGAGTCGTCTTCTGGTGGTCTCTGAGGGTCCCATGAACCTGGTATTACACTTTCACTGACATTGGGATCTGACCAAGTGAGTTCCAATGGCTGGCCACTGAGCTCCAGGTTCCTGTGTCCACCTCCACATCCCTGTTACCGGGAGGTGGGCACCAACACACCCAGGGCTCCCGTGGATGCTGGGATGCAGCTCAGCATGTACTTAAGTCTCCATGCATGTACTTGCTGGCAGCCCTCTCCCCAGCTCCAGCTCACTGGCTTTACAAGGATAAGTGGAGTACAATCTAGTTCAATTGATAACTGTTCTCAAACACTGTCTTTTAAGCAAGGAATCCATTACAGAACAATTATAAGAAAAAGAAAAAAGGTGATCTGTACAGATCACACAGATGGCCACACTCTTTAACCACCTCCATCACTCTCCCTTTGCTTTCATATCAAATGTATTTTACTCTTCAACCTGTACGATCTTTTTTCTCTCCCATGGTCCTATCCATGGTCCATGCCAGGAAAGCACTGCCGCTACGGAGCTACATCCTGGGTCAGAATCGTGCTTCATAGTTTTAAGTTAATTAAAGGAAAACAAAAAACCAAACCAAAACCAAAACAAAAAGGAGGCAGGTGGCACATGCTCATAATCCCAGCACTTGGGAGGCAGAGGCAGGCAGATCTATGAGTTCAAAACCAGCCTGCTCTCCCCAGTGAATTCTAGGCCAGCCAGGGCTACACATTGAGACCCTACTTAAAACAAAACAAAACAAAACAAAACAAAACAAAAACAACTAAATAAAAAAGAGAAGTAAATGACAGTAATGAATTTAGGCTCTTTTATACTGATGGGAAATTAAAGACATATTCAAGCCTTGAGAATTATTTGAGAGAAACAGATAAGCAATTGTATACTTAGAAGTCTAGTGAGACTGTATACTGAAAGATATTAAGAATAATTAAAGCTTGGTTGCCTGATTCCAAGGGACTGGTCCAGATGTGATTCACATTCCTTATCTAATCCATCATTTTTCTGGGCAGACCTGTGAAAACATTCACAACTGTGTCATTACTTTTCAGGGTTTTTCAGTACAACTTCACACTTGTAAACTGCACACACCCACCAAAGCACCCCGTGAACTCAGAGCAGCTCTTAGCTACTGCTCCAATACCTGTCTGCCTCACGCCAGAACCCTTCCCACCATGATGACAATGGACTAAGCCTCTGAAATGGTAAGCCAGCCCGAGTTAAATGCTTTCTTCATAAGAGTTGCTGTGGTCTTGGTGTCTTGGAGGAGGGTTTGTTTCAGCTCCCACTTCTAGGGAGGAGTCTGTCACAGTGTGAAGTCAGGGCAGGGACTGAGGCATGAGCAGGCAGACAGCGCAGAAAACTGCCTTCTGCCTCACTCTCTGGCTCACACTGAGCTCATTTCTTACACGGTCCAGGTCTGTGCCCTTAGGGAGGGTGCTGTTCAGAGTGGGTGGGCAGTTACCAAGCAAGAAAATTCCTCACAGACATGGACCACAGGTCACTGTGATCTGGGCATGGACAATCCTCCAATGAAGACTGCCTCAGATGAAACCTCTCTGACAATTATGCCCAAGAAGACCTTCAATTATTAGTAAACCCTGCATAGCACAAGACCAAATGCTAATAAATTGAAGACTTAGGATAAACGTAAGAATAAAATAATTACCCATGAACCTTAATGCTGGACAGAACTTTGAGTCTAGAGGCATCCTATCACTGGTAGGAAAGAAAGCTCACAGTGATCAATCTTAGGCGCAGCAGGGCCGTTATTACCTCAGCTCCAGGCTACTCTTCTATAGACTCTGCCTGAGGACATATCAGCTCAGACCAAGCTTTAGTGAGAGAGCTTCTCATTGGATGCTTTTTAAATGATGTAAAACCATTGTGAAGATAGTATTTATGAAGGTTTTTACTTGTTATATGTATTTATTTATAAATACATATTTGAAATTAAGTACAAAGAATGGAAAAAAAACAGAAACCACAGGATATTAAAATAACAATGTCATCCTTCAACTCTTACTTACATTTCACTGGTATTTACAATCTTTTTAATTTTTTTCTTCAGGGCTTTTAATCTTTCTTGGATTTCTTTTTTCTCTTGTTGCCACTTTTTAATTTCTTTGTCCAAATCTTGAAGAAACCAGTCTAACTCTGTCTTTGAGATCTAAAAAGCATTTTAGAAAATACTTGAATAATCCTAGCAATACTTTTTAGGGAAAAAAAGAGCCTGGCAGTATCTTAGCATGCACAACAACTCAAGCTCAGGGGAGTGGGAGTCCTGGGCAGGGCCACTGGTACTCCAGCCTGGGATACGCTCAACACAGCACAGCCAAGTGTCATCTGTCCAGCGCACTGAGGACGCTGAGCAGAGCCTTGTGAGCCCACAGGACCGACATGTCAGTCTGCAACCTGCAGCACCCTAGCCTACAAGTCATCTACACAAGTTTTAGCTAGCAAGTCCAACAGTTTTTGTTTGCTTTTAGAAATACAAATGGAATACCTCTGGCTGACCACTGAAGGCATGGAGATTGAGTGCCCGGCCCTGGGTGAGGTTCAGTGCCACCCCCAGCCTCCCCTCAGCTCCCTTATGCATGTACATGCTGCTTTTTTAAGTATCTGAACCGAGAAACATAGTCCACGCTCAAGTCCCGTGACTGCCAACAGTTGCTTAATGAAATTCTGTTCTCCTATCTGCTAGAGACAGACTTTTTTCCTTGAGCTCCGGGTTGTGAATTTCCTGCTTAGATTCAGAACATGCTGAGAACAAGGTTCAGCTACAGAAACCTCAGAAGAGCGATGCACCCTACAACAAACCTCCACAAATGTAAAAGGAAGTAACAGCCTTCGAGTCATAATGACACAGACCCAAGCAGCCGTCTCTCCCCTCTTCAGCCTCTACACCCAGGTTTCGACGCTTCTGAAGAAGAAGGATGTGCTAACTAGTCCAATTCCTGTAACTCTGAGACCCACTCTGGATGGATGACACACAGGCTCTCTCCAAAGTGGCAGGATCAACAGAGGTTCTGTGGTGGGTCTTGTCCACACTTTCCCCGAGAATAAAACCGTGCTGATTCCAAACATGCCACATCATTACTGTGACTCAGATGAGCCCATGCCTACCATACCTGTAATAAGCTCTTGTATCCTACATGGTCACTTCTAGTTCCAAGACCAACATAAACCTGCTAGCTGTGCGAGTGGAAGCAGCTCTGCTTATGCTCTGAGCCACCGCTCTGACCTCGGATCTAGCCTTTGAAAGGGAGTGTGCGACAGAGGGCATGCCAGGGCGCCAGAACCTACTTGACAAAGGGACCTACAGGAGGTCAGTTTACAAGAGGGCACAGAACTAAATTCACCTGTTTGGGCATACATCTGCACATGAGCGAGCCCGTGCGCGCGCACGCACACATGCACACACGCACACAGCTCTGCCAGCGAAAGCATTACCCGAGTTCATGTGCTGTTTGTATCACCACCCTTTAAGGACAAAGCTGTTTCATAATTAATAAGGAAATGATCCTTAATTTCCGCCTATTCATGTATAGACACAGCACAGAAACTCAGACTCACAATTTAAGGGTTCACGTTCAGCAAAAGTCTAGCAACTGAACCAACCTCCTCGGAGGGACAGATCGACTAGACTCAGCATGACGGTGAGTGCGATCCGACGACACGAGAGACACAGCCACAGCGATAAGGAAAAGGCGTTGAGAGGAACCTGGTACAGGCTGTGTGCCTAAGCTCCCAACACGTACGAGGCAGGCTAGGATTTAGGGAAACCAGGTGACCAACTGCTGCTTAGAAGAGTTCTAAACAGACCCACCAGAACAGAAGCGAGCCTGGCACAGAGCTCACGTTTGACCTCTCCTGTGACCATGCCTCTCAACGCAGGCAGGAATTTAATTTGGAAAGTAAACACGGAAGGGGGTTAGTTAAGCAGAGCAGTGAATTAAAGATAAATGGAACTCCAGATTTATAGTCCTCTTCCCAAAAGCAGCTGGTGGAGTTCTACACCACCACAAGAACCCCTGCCACCTGAGTAAGTGCAAGTGGCTAAGGAGAAAGAGCTTGTGTGTCTGAAACTCAGCTCACCAATGCTCACACGCGCTCACACGCACTCACACGGCCCCAGGCAGGCTCAGGCAGAGTACCTTGCTTTCTTCCCCATGCCTCCTCAGCTTCTCTTCCAGGTCCTGGGGCTCCTCTGCGCTCCTGCGCTCAGTCTGCTCACAGCTTGCACATGCCGCCTTCAGCCGCTCTTTTAACAGGCAACACTCCTTTTCAACCTGGGAAAGGGCTCCCTAAGAGTAAAACAAAAAAGCAATAGCTAACAACTGTGCAAAATTTATGGTTTGTTCTGACCTGTCTCAGAGGAGGGTAAAATGAAAAGGAAATTTTACACGGGTAATGGAATAATTCAGAAACTAACACCTCTAAATACTGTTAGGCAGAGCTAGCTCTTTTGAACACTATTTTACGACTGAATTTTGTAATGGAACTTTATTTTTTATTTATTGAGTCTTTGTTAGTTTCATATCCGGCACCCTAATCCCACTTATCTCCCTGTGCCTTCATACCCTTGCAATCGCCCCAGCAAAAAAAAAAAGCTCCCTGTGGAAGCTGCAGCATGTCACAGGACAACCTTTTGTCCGCACAGCTTCACGTGCAAATGTCCACTACAGTGAGTCCCTGGTCTGAGGCCTCTGGCTTGTGCCCTCAGGACTGGGTCCTCACAGGTACCTCTCTGATACCCTGTTGTTGCCCCTCACCCAATGCAGCAGTTCCTACAAGGTGTACATGTTAGGGTGGCCCAACTCCAAGCCCTGGATCTCGGTGGTGGCCGAGCAGTCAGCCCATCGGCTCTCCCAGTCACGCCACCAGGGCCAGCTCTCCTGCACTGGCTAGCGTGTAATAACACTTTCAATTTGTACATTATAATTAGTTCTGAAAACTTTGTTTCCTAAGAGCATATTAGATCAAAGTTTAATTTTAATGTTATTTCCTATAATTAACATCAGGAACTATATTAGGGTTTAAAGGTCACATATACATATATTTTGAAGACAAGTTGAACAAATTAGTATTGCCATTATTCTCAAGTGTTTCAAATGGTAAGTTGTTGGTAATTTTAAAAAGCTAAATTGTTACCAATGAACTGAGTTGTTACCTACCATGAATAATTATCTTAAAACAGAAAAACAAGATGTAATACTGTACTACAGAATGTTGGAAACAATGATTATCACTTATGTAAGGTTCTTACAAAGCTCTCACTCAGGCAGGTTGGCTATAGTGACACACCGTGTCTGAAGAGAGCACTGTGGGGTACTGGAAACCTGGTGCAGAGTACTGCCCTCCTATGGCAGTCACGCTGCAGAAATCGATCCTGGTCACGAGCGTGGGTCATCTTCAACAGCTTCCCTGCTAATCCCTGTATCCCCCACACTCCTTGCTCAGCATCTGAGCTCTTTGCAGCTAAAAAGGCAGGAAATCAAATAATAGAAATGGCACCACTTATTAGAGCACTGTGAGCTACAGCCAGCACAGTAGACTGAGCAGGTGCTTTGGAGGAAGGCCTCAGCTTATGTGCACCCAGACTGAGGCTTTAGCACTATGTACAGCCCACGTGTAAATAATGAATGAAACTGTCAAAGCTACTATGACACACAAGCAAGACTTGACAGTAAAGACTTCAATTATCTCAATTTTTATTCTCTTGGCAAAAGAATCATACTGAATATTGTATTTTACATTACTTCTACACCCCAAGTCACCAACAGACAGCTGCGACATTAAATGGCAACTTTATGTTACTATATTTAAACTTCATTAAATTTTCAGAATAAATATGTAATTTTTGCCTTTTACAGTTCAGGAAACCAAGAGTTTCCCAGAAGAAAACAGCAGTCCTAGAGTTCAACTGCCAGTCTCAACAACTGAAAAGCCAGAAATTGCCTCGACTTATCTCACAGTTTTGAAACCAGTAACTAATTTATGAAACTATGAGTCTTGCTCAGACAGCACGGTAACACACTTCTGTCTACTTAACCACAGCTGTGCTTATTTCAACAGCATCTTAATGCAGCAGCGTATTTCAGCCTCTAGTGGTGGGTGTTTAACAAGCATCAATTTTTGGTTGTTAAAAATGTAGACAAAGCAAATACTTAAGTATCTGTCCACTGGTCTTCACACCTATTTGAGTGCAGAGAATTCCATATTGTACTCCCCAGAAAGCTGTATTTTACTTCTGGTTTGTTAATTCCTAAAAATCATCAACTTTGCTTTTATTGTTGCTTGTATATTTACACCAGTTCCCTTTTTTTTCTGATACGTTATCTTTTCCTTACTGATTAGCAAAACCTTTTTAAGAATATTTACTCTTCTGGACCCAGAATTCTTAGGCTGATTCTGCATTTCTAACCAAAAGAAAGTGTGACACAGTAAATGTTTGTTGCTATTTAAGCTAGTTTATTTTGAGGTAGTTTGTTCTATTTCAATAGATAATTATTAAATCCAGTTTAGGTTCACACATGTAGTACAACTGTCCTGAATTAAGAAACAAAACTAGGGGAAAAAAAATCAATCTTTTCATTGCATCTTATCCAACTGCCATCTCCTCTCTTCTTTAAGTCTCTCAATAGCAGTTTAGCGGTCTTGAAATAGATTTTGTCACTAAAAATGAAATATGTCTTAGTGAGTTAGTAAGATGGCTTCAGTGAGCATGTGTGTGCACAGCAGTTACCTTGCACACAATTACCTTTCCATTATTCAGGTCTTAATTTCTGTAAATAATGATGTCAGACCTCCTTTTCTTTCTCGTACCTAATAGTTCCTGACCAGTAACAAATACTAGTGGTGATATTTTACCTTTAATCAAAATAATGGCTTTTACTTTCAGAGAAAGTTATTAGCATGTTAAATCACTCGTGTTTCATTAATATTTTTGATTAAAAGTTTACCTCTATGTTCCTGAAACTACATAGTTCGTTACATTACTTTTATAGTATACTAACAAATTTCCTAATTGGATCATTCTTAAGGTGGCTCAGGTCTTTGTATCTTTTGATGTAATTCATGTAAATATCTCTACTTATAAATTAATACATGTTCACCACACCAGTTAAAACAAAGCCATTATCCTTTGAATTAATGAGTGAAGGGAAGCATAATCTAAACTTTTTTTTTTGCCTCCTTGTCAATTTCAACAACAACAACAAAAGTTCTTTGTTGAACTTTAAAGCATATTCCATGGTAACTTTAGGATCAACTGGCTCCAATTTATATACGTTAATCAAGCAGAGGTGTGTAGACAATTTAATGTTCTTTTGACTCACCTGCTGTGTTTCAAAAGGTTCATATGGCTCAGTATTAACTTCCCGATGAATCACGCTCCTGGACGCCTATAGAGGAAACAACTGCTTAAAACTTAACCAACCTTAACAAGAGCAGTAAATACATACGCCCACTGTGTGATAGTGTAAACCACATCCACGGTTTTCCTAAGGATTTTCCTATTTAGATTATATTTCTTTCGCACGCTTGCTGGCAAACTGTGGTAGGTGACATAGATTACTGTGTATTACTTCAGCCAACCTTCTTCCTGACAACAAAAGCCCCTGGGATGCCTTACAGAAGCATTCGTATTTCCAGGTGGGAATGTTTTCATACCCACTGTGAAGGCAACTACTCTTTTTAGTAATAAAATAGCAATAATAAAACAAAAAGGCAAATTTAGCTTTTGTTGCAGCACCTTTTTCAGGCCGCTCAAGAGGGAAAAGCACTACGGCAGGAAAGAACTGCACACGCACATGCGTGCTGGGGCAGTGTGCACCTGAACCAGCACACACCCCATAGACACGGACACAGCGTGACAATTTGTTTTAATAAAGACTCTCTTGTCTGCAAGCCTTACCTGTACGCCCACGGCTAGTGTGTGAGGAACGTGTGTTACTCCACTGACACTTGCGAGAGAAGCTCCCCACGCGTTGTCAGAGCTCCCACCACGGCTGCTCTTCCTTTCAGGCTCACTCAGAGCGGTGTCAGCATCAGCTGGGCTGCTCTGGGGCTTAACACACATCCCCAAAGAACTCTCAGGCATCTGTGTTTCAGAGGCAGTCTGCTTACCAGAGTCATTCTCAGTATTCAGATTGTGACTTTCAAAGTATGCAGTGGCACTGTTATCTGCCCTGTCGCCCGAGGCAAAAGATGGCACCACTGGCATGGACCTCTGCACGGGGTACTCAGCAGAGATGCTGGCCAGAGGTGTGTAAATGCCAGCGAACTGGGGCAGGCTGGGAGCCATGCTAATGTATGCCGGCCGCGACTGGATGACGTCACATCCTTGAAGAGGGAGGTATGTGCAGAACCCTGTGAGCATGTGTGACCGAGTCCAGTAGGCTGGTTTGGCATCTTCAGCAGCTGCTGTGGGGGAAGAAGCAGCTGCTCCAGGAGGCGCGTCCTCATAGAGGGGTGTGGCAGAGTCAGGAGACGCCACTTCCAGTCTGCTGTCCTCTGAAGCAGACCCAGAAGAGCTATCAGAGTCCAGCTGCGGCTTCACATCCTCGACAGCTGGCTGCGAAGACTCCTTGGCAGGTCCTGGTGTGGACTGAATGTCCTCAGGCACTGCTGCAGACTTCACATCTGGCTTAAATTCTCTAGCGCTTGGATTTAGTGGTAGGTTAACGCGTAAATATTCTCCTGTTTTTGACATTTCTTCAACTTTAGTTTTCATGTTTTTCTTCTTCCTTTTTTTCTTGAGTCGTGAGGCAACTTTTTTCAATGCAATGCAGTTGTCAATCACCACAAAGCGAGGACACCCCAGGAGGAAAGACTTCAGCCCTCCTGCCTTCTCCAGTATCTGTCGAGTTTCTTCAGGGAAGAACTCATACTCCTCAGAGAACATTCTGTCACTCATATCCAAGGGACCGTGCTCTTCCAGCAACTGAGAGAAGTAACTGGAAAAACATATTTACACTGAGTTATAATGAAAAAACGTATTTATACTGAGTTATAAAGAAAAAGTACTAGTTTTTCTCTTTTCCTAAGGCAAAGATATTTTACTTTTGATATCAAACCCTCCCGACAATACAATGTAGAGGAAACATGGGGTTGACTGAAATCAATGCTATAATAGTCAGAACTTGCCCTGAGAACTCAATCTCTTAATGCTTTCTTATGAGGAAAGAAAAGTTATTTATAAGTTCTAACTAATAATTTATATTTAAAAAAATAGAAAAATCAGAAAAATTTGTTTAGAAAAACAAAGCCAGTAACAAAAATGCCAAACGAGAAGGAAAAAACTAAAATCAAACAAAAAAAACACCTCAGTATGAAATAACTATTCACTAACCTCAAATAACTCATGCCCCTAAAGAGAAGCTTTTTGAAACAAACAAAATACCCCATTCAGTTTGCATACAATAACTCCATTAAAATGCTCATCAGGAATACAGAATCCTTCAGAGGAACGGAATGCATCTCCCTGACAGTAACTCACTCCGTTCCAGGACCCGGATCCACATGAACGGGTCTGAGCCCTAGTGCAACGCCAGCTGTGGACTGGGTTTATTCATTCCAGCTCCCGCTCTTTCTGTTCAAAGAAGAGACTTGTCCCAAGTAACTTTTGTCTTTATTCTGTAACAATCAAAATATAACTCGTCTGCAAATTACACTGGACGCCACTAAGAAAGCTTTTTCAGGAACAAAACGCTGCACGGAGGCTTTCCCGGTAAACTAGTGCGACAAGGAGGACTCGCAAGAGTAGCTTTAAAGCAGCTCCTTAACGGCAGGAGAATCACTTTCTGCACACCTGCTTCTGCAGACAAATGCAGACGCAAACTTAACCACTCACTGCAGCACTTCTTCTGCCAGTGCTGCTACCCCAAACACTTGTCACCCAGGACCTGTTTTAATGTGTTTTATAAGGAGTATTTTTTTTTTTTTTTCACGGAACAATCTCTGTGAAGCTCAGGGATCCTTTTTTTTTTTTTTTTTTTCAAAAAAGGGCAACCCTTTCCCAAGCTGTGTAACTTGTCACTGCCGTTGTGAGGTGGCAGAGAAACCATCAACCTGAGGACAGGATACAACAGCCATAGTGTCTGTATTAACTGAGTACTTAGAATCCGATGTTGACTGAAAGAGGACCACATACACACTTGAGGTCCTGTTTCTCAGAGGCTAAGGCTGGAGGGCTGCAAGGTTAAGGCAGCTGCGTTCCTCAGCGAAATGCTGTCTCAAAAACCCTGCACCATAGCAGAAAGCCTGGCTTAAAGTATCAATATACGGAGCTAAAACTGACAAATTATGATCTGGACTCTAAACTTGGTAATGAAAACCCTTAATAAACTTTGTGAAATACAAGGCAAAGGTTCTGAACATGTATTCCCCAGAGGCTGTGAGCCAAATGGTAGCACTTTAATAAATATAAGAGACACGGATCAAACAGCTGTGATCTTGACTTGGGAGTCCCCTGAGGAAGCTGTGGGAACGCAGAGCTACTTACTCATACAGAGTCGAACACTTCTGTTTGGGGTTAATGTCCCACAGCTTCTTATTGCGGACGACATACTCGCTGTTGTGCTGGTCATAGAGAGCTTCAAATTCTTCCACATCTTGCCGAAGGTGGTCAGGCACTGCAAATGGGCCTGCAGAATCTGAATTGCGCCTGCTGGGTTAAAACAATTTTATAGATAAACTTTTGGGAAGGAATATTTAATTGCAGGTGAAGATCTTAGAGCTCAGGGGAAAATATATAAGCAATTAAAATAAAACTAAATAAAATAAAATTAATAATCTCAGTTCTGTACTACAAAAACCTGTAACAGGAAAATTTAATACAGAAAAGCTACAATTAACAGGCTGGAGAGTTGGCGCAGTAGTTCAGAGCATTTGTTGATGATGCAAAGGACCCAATTCCCTGTACCTACACGGTGATTTATAAGCATCCATAACTCCAGGTCCAGGGGACCTGAGGGCCTTCTCTGATTGCTGCAAGCACCAGTGCTACACAGACATCAGAAGGGAAAATGCTGACACAACAAATAAATAAAACTCTAAAAACCCTATAATCATAGTGAAGAAACACTACATCCTATATTCCGAGTAAGCACTTCTATTTAGAAAGAGCACAATTTTTTTTCAAATGCCATATTGAAAAATCAAGGGCGGGCATGGTGGGACACACCTTTAATCTTGGCACTCAAGAGGCAGAGGCAGGAGAATCTCTGAGAGTTCAAAAATATTAAAGTGTACACAGCAAGTTCCAGGACAGCCAGAACTATAGGGAAAAAAAAAACTGTCTTAAAACAGAAAAAAATAAATGGGCAAAAGTCAACGTTGCTTTATTTATAACTTACTGAAAAGTTAGAGACAAATGTAGATTTAAAGTTACAACCCTATTCATTTAAGGGAGGCTAAGAAAATTAAAGCTATTAATAAAAACATTTCTTTAAAATGGGTGCTACAGGAGACAGGCTCAGGGGAAGGTCTAGTCACAGAGAAACGCCCAGGCTTTCCTCATCTGCTCCCCCAGGGCCAGAGCCTGAGCCTCAAACGGCCGCTGCAAAGAACAGAGGTACTGAGGGAAGAAAGCTGGTAAGCAACAGAACTGCAGAAACAGACCTGGCAGAACACTATGGCCCTGGAGGCCAAGGACAGTTCTGGTTACAGCATATTTCAGCACAGACTGAAGTATTTTTATCAGAATCTTTTCATTCTTGGGACAGGATCTTACTCTGCAGTCCAGACTGTCTTCAAGCTTTTGACAATCCTGGATCAGTCTTCTAAGCACTGCTGAGGTATGAGCTAACACATGACTTTAACAACGCTCTTTAAATTTTATTATTCATTTATTTAATTCATTTATCTTTCAAGATAGGTTTCTATGTGCAGCCCTGGAAAAAGCTGGGATTACAGGCGTGCATCAGGGCACCCAGCTCTCAATGTTGTTCCTGCTGTTACTTACTATTGTAAACCAGGCTGACCTTGAACTCTGCCTACCTCTGCCTCCCAAAGCCTGGAATTAAAGGTGTGCACCATCACTCCTGGCCAGCTCTAACAAGTCTTAAAGCCATGTTGTTAATACAAGAACTCTGCTGCTTTGTGGGAAAAAAAAGCATGTATCACTAACAGAATATCTCTTCTTTCTTTGCAGGGGCATTTAGGTTAAGATGCTAGTTTAGATTCTACCACTCTAAAAAGACGATGGTTTAAGTGTGCACTACAAAACTAAAATGCATGGTTGAAATACTGGGTCTGTTACTTGCCAGCTTTTTATCTTGGGCAAGTCACTCCATTCTGTATGGACACAGTAACAGTACCTGTCCTGTGGCAGATGCATGGATTAAATCCGCTCTATTCTAGAGCCCTAGAACAGAAACTGACACATGTCAATTTCAGTAGAGGACATGCTATGATCTAACTGTGTGTGACACCTGCCAGCCCCAAATTCTTATGCTGGAACTTAATCACCAATTTGATAGTATTAGGATGAGGGGCTTTTGGTAGTGATCGGGTCATGAAGATGTACAACTGAGGATCTGTGTTTGTATGAACTTTAGGAAATAATGTAAGGCTACTGTACTCCTCCATCATGTGGGAGCACGGTAAGACAGTGCTATCCATGATGCACCAGGAAGCGGCGGCCTCTCTGACGGTGGACTTCAGGCTCCAGAACTGTGGGGAATACTCCACTGTCTGTTTGCTATGCAATGTGCGGTCTATTACTTTCAAAAAATTCTGCTTTTTTCTTTTGTTTTGTTTTTTTGAGGGTTTCTCTGTGTAGCCCTGGCTGTCCTGGACTCGCTTTGTAGCCCAGGCTGTTCTCAAAAGTTACAACGATCTGCCTGCCTCTGCCCCCAAAAAGCTGGGATTACAGACGTGCATCAGGGCACCCAGCTCTGAATGTTGTTCCTGCAAATGTACGTGTACAGTATGTGTGCCTATTGAGAAGAGGGCTTCAGATCCCGCACAACTGGAGTGTGGAGAGTTGTGAGCCACCATGTGGGCGCTGGGAACCGAACCCAGGTCCTCCGCAAAGGCAACAACAAAGTGCTCTCAACTTCCGAGCCACCCATCCAGCGCAGATTTCTGTAGTTTTTAAGTGCTTCATTTTAGGGTATCTTGTCTTGACAGTCCAACAGTCCACGTAGACTTAGACAGGTTCCCATTGGTCCAAATGAAAAGAATTCCCCCACTTAACAAAATGCCTCCATGTTTATGCACAAAGAAAGCGCTTTACAAACCACGGCCACAGACTGTGACATTTTCACATATTCCTATCACGTATTTTTATTACTCTAGTTTCTCCTTCCCTTACTTCTGCCTGTATGAATTCTGAAGGCTGTAATTCTAATAGCCATGCCATTAACTCAAGATGGGTTATCATAACAGATTCCTATTTCTAAGATATGATAAGGAAAGGAGGGAGGACACACCTGAGTTACAAGGAGGAAACTGTCCTAACTCATACTTACTTCTGGTCTTCTGGAGTGGTGGTGTCAGGACTTGCTGCTACTGATGCTGCTCCAGACCCCACTAACATTGGCTGGTTTAAAAGAGAGCACAGGGACAGTGATAGTCTAATCTAAAAATGGTAAGATTTTACCATAAATGACAAAAATATTCTACGTTAAAAATGACAGTATAGTACTCGAATTCTGTGGTAGGAAAAAACCCACTGAAATTAGCGAGAATTTACATAAACAAGCTTGCCAACTGTCAACACTAAAAACAAAACAAAACAAAACAAAACAAAAAAGACTCCCAAGTTCTTATAAATGGAAACTTCAACAGCCAGAAATAGGTGGAAATTAAAACTTAGGGTAGTTTCTAATGCTCTAAAAAAAAAAAAAAAAGCAAATGTAACTGTAACTTAATGCGATTAAAACTTTCATTCCTCAAAGAGGCAAAGGCAAGTTGTGCGGGAACTCCCAAAGCTGCCTGCACCCGTTTCTAGCACTTGCTCAGTCTCTCTTACCCTGTCCCACTCTCAACACTTACAATAACGCTCTTTGTCGCCTGGGTTTGGAGCTGAAGTGAAAAGAAGGAAAAGATCCCGGCAATCCTAAGGTCATTAGGATGACTGGAATTCATCACTTTTGACTATTTTGGATAAATCTCTGAACAGAAATAACTGTCACAGAAGTTCTGAGCACTATAAAAACAAACTTTCTTCCTTATTTGCTCATGAAACTCAGTGAGGAGATATATTACATGTGCACTAGCTATATGCCACTGACATTTTCTCGTGAGTGCATGAATTCTGTGGTGTATGTGTCGTATGGGTTTTTGTAGGTGCCCAAGCACATGGGTGTGTGTGTGCGAATAGAGCACAGGTGTTTCCCAAGGTTCAGGGAGCCACCTGCACCAGGCTGTTTATACAGGTGCTGAAGAGCCGAGACAGAAACCCAGGCCTGCCTGCCCCCAGGGCCTTCTCTACTCTACTTCCCTTCATGGAGTCTTGTATGTGGTCACCCAGAAGTATCTAAAAAATAAAGGGCAATAAAGATTAAAAGGAGTGCCCAAGGATCTCCAAAGTCTAAAAAGTCAATTCACAAGATGTTTCAGGATGTCCCAAGAGCTGTTTCTTTCTTACTTCCATGTTCAGGGCAGTTATGGAGACTGAAGAATAGCCACGAAGGTATTCCTCACCTTTGAATCTTTTGGCTTCTTTTTCTTGCCTTTGTTTTTTACCTTGATACAACCAAACTAAAAAACATGAAAAAGAACATCAATGAGTCCTCATACAGCAGAATCATACATCTCAACAAAAACAACCACATTCATTTTCCTAACTAGTCACACATTAAATACCCAGTGTCTAAGACAGTCATACAGGAAGTGCATCAATCCAAGTACTGCTGAGAAAAGCTTAACGACACCTCACGTTTACGACTGAAACTGTCCCCACATTCTAACCTCAACTCCAACAGGGCTTACGCTCTTTCAAATGAACCAGGAGACTTTTAGGTAATGCTGCGCACAGTGACAGCACTTGAGACGCTCCTTTCACTGCCGAGGGCACCAAACCCTGGGCAGGCAGTGACTGGAGCACATCTGGCCAGGCGTCAACCGCAAGTGGAAGACACGCTTCCAGGAGAGCTGATGCTCAGCACTGGCACACACGCCCTAACTTGCTGGAGAGCATAAAGGAACCGCACAGGATCTCAGTGTAAACCAACAGGGGCTCCTAGGAGAAAATTTCGTTGCGCTCATTCTAGAACACAACATTATCATCTTTCTTGACTCAAGAACTCCGCCATTCCTCTAAAATGAACATTTATTAACTTGAAACCTTACGAACACTGTCTCGACAAGGTCTCATGGGGCCTAGCCTCGCCCTGAATTCACTACACAGCTGAGGACGCTCGTAACATCTGTCCTCCTGTTTCCGCTCCTGAGTACTGGAATTACAGGCCTCTGCCACCGCAGACAATTATGCACTGCTAGGCTTGCAACTCAGGGCTTTGTGCATCCTGGGCACCTCTACCAACTGAATACATTTTCGGTCTGTCCAATGGTAAAGCTTCTGTTTTGATCTAGCACATTACCTGTGGGGCAGATAAGCGCTGGCCTGGCTTCCCCCTCTGCTTTTTGGCTAACGTGTACACACACACACACACACACACACACACACACACACACACACACACAAATATATTTAAATATATATTCAACAAATAAATAGTATTATTATTACTATTGGTAATTATTAATAAATAAAAACATATTTAATATGTATATTTTAATATATATGTATACCTAAGATCCAAGGACTTACCGGCATTTCATCACTGTCCTGTTTCCTTAATATGGTACATCGGCTATCTGCAGGGGGGAAGAACAGGAATCTCTGTGAGGTGACTCAATTGTCTGTACTTTTTAGTCATATATTGAAGCCTTATAAAACCAACCTGGGTTTTATAAAAACCTGTGCTCTTTCTTCACCTGGTACTGACAGTTTAGTTTAGAAATCATGGGCAAAGTAACTGACTAAATGAGAAATCAACTGCAGAGAAGCAGTCAGCACACTCTGAGAGCCTCCCAGTACCATCCATGCCAGGAGGTGAGCTACAGAGGTACCTGGTGCCAGTGAGTTCATGTTCTGCTACCAAACAAACAAACAAACAAAGCCCCTGTAACTCAGGGTTACAGATAAGACACAGTGAGACAGAGCAGCAGTGAACTGAAGGAGTAGTAAAGTCTTTGGGAAGAACCCTGAGGTGGACTAGGAAGGGCTCCAGAAAAAGCAGGACACGTGTGTTAGGCTTGAAGTGAATGGGAAACAAGAAGTGACATCCAGAGGGACAGCATGAGCCATGTTCAGGCTGTTAAGTACGGCCTCTCTTTCAATTTGGAAGGGATGCCCTTTTCTAGACACTGAACAGAAGCAGCTTCTCACACTGCACCAAACTTTCTGACCTATGACAGGGCTACAGGGCCAGACCTCCTATGTGCCCTTAAAAACAGGGATCATGGAGTCGGAAAGCCCATGCCTCATCATATATAGACTTTGGTGCTAAGGGAAAGTGGAGAATGAAGCACTTAACACAGGATGACGTTGATGGAAGATAACAAGCTAACATTAATTTAGAATTTTGAAGTAAAACAAAATCACACAGATCAAATCATTTCATTATAATGGTGGGGAAAAAAAAGTCCAAGAGAAGCCAAGTAAATTATCCGCTATCTGGCTTACTCTGCCAAACCTACCTGTATGTCATTTCCTCCCACCGTCTTCTCTAAGTTCCACACACACCAGCCTGACTGTACAGCCACACCTGCAGTGCTCCTCAGACTAACCCTATCCCACAGATTTCCTCTCGGAGGAAGAATCAGAGGCTGGGACCTCCTCTCTTGGAAGTCCTCATCTTTCTTCCCGTTTCCTTTCACTATAGGTCTCTCAACCACACCGCACTCGACCGACAAGAAAGCACCAGCAGAGCATAAAAAGATGACTGCTTCTGTCACTGAGTATTAAAATAAACTGGGTCCCCACAGGTTTCCCCACCCATAATGTTAACCATATGCACATCTGGACTGGCTTCACATACCCATTACATCAAAGAAGTCATCCAGCGCGCTGTGCAGGGCTGGGAACCTGTCCCTGTGCGTTTCCAGCAGCCAGATCAGACAGCGTGCTTCGGTTGCTGATGCCGGCTCGCAGAAGAAATCAAGAGGCTTTCCTTCTATAGAACCCAGCTTATGACCGTATTTCTCATTCCAGAGGAAAGTCAAGACGCTAAAATCAAGCTCCTTGAGAGATGCTCCGTATCGAGTAAAAAACGGTCCTGTGGCATCTAAGCCTGCAACAGAACCAAAGCACAGAAGCCAAAGTACTTCCTTCAGCAAAGTCTCCAACCACAGCATCTTTTGGAAATAGTTCTATGTGCAGTCTGCTGATGTCTTCAGAGAAAACATTTAAACACTTGATATATTAATCAAAACTATAATTCATGTCACAAATCAGATTTAACGCTGAGGAGACAATAATAATAATTCTCCATTAGTTGTTGGGGAAGGTCAGCCGAACGGCTCTATCATTAAAACATACCACTAAATTTCCTTAAAAACATAACATCACTTTCCACTAATTCTTCATTTCCATTCCTAATTAAATTGCCAAGATTTTACAAGGTTTCCCTAAGTACATTCTGTAGCAATCAGTGCCACCAGTGATGCATGAATCTGTCCAAATGCCTTGAGGAGAGCTATGTGAGACAGGGTCCTCCCTCTAACACTTCCAACCACTGTTTCTTATCTTCACAGCATGGGGCAACCCCATGCTCCCCACACTGTGAAAAGGAAGCCTTGTCCCTCCTAACAGCCCCAAGAGCAAATCGAAATTCCCTTCATGCCTCAAAGGCACCCTTAGCATAGGCCTAGGTGTCAAATCAGCAAGTGAGCACTCCTTACAATTATCCTGGACAGCTGATTCCTCCGGACCAAATACTTAGCTTGTAGAAGTCATGTGGCTCGAGAAATCGGCATCTTGAAATATCAGAATCCATGGCGACAAAACTACACCTTCAATGAGAAGTTCAGGAGGAGAACTGCCAGTGAAGAAATCATGGGGTGGGGGAGGGGGGAGGAGGCACAGCGGCGGCGCTGAAGAGATGGCTCAGTGGTTAAGAGCGCTGTCTGCTCTTCCAAATAAATGGCAGCTCACAACTGTCTGTACCACCAATTCCAAGGATTCTGACACCTTCACACATAAAATAAACTAACCTTTAAAAAAAAAAAAAAAAAAAAAAAAAAAGAAATCACGGGGGCTAGAGAAATGGCTCAGAGGTTAAGAGCACTGGCTGCTCTTCCAGGTTGCTGAGTTCAAGTCCCAGCAACCACATGGTGGCTCCCAACCATCTATAGTGAGATCTGGTGCCCTCTGCTGGCATGCAGATGTACGTGCAGATGGAGCTCTCATATGCATAAAATAAACTTAAAAAAAAAAAAGAAAAAGAAAGGAAGAAAGAAAGAAATGGACTGACATTCCCTAGCTGGTCTCTGATCAAATCAGTACTCCACAAGGAATGTTAATACTTAGAAACATTATTAATACAAGTATTAATTCAAACATTAATACTTACCCAATGCTAATGTTCTCTCTCTCTGGCAGCCTATACCCTCCCCCCTTTCACTGATCAAACACACTGGCTTCTAAATTAAATACACACAAAGTGATTCCACTATATGGACTTCTGTGAGAAAAAGGTAAAATCTCATCAACTGAAAATTATTTCCTTTATTAAGTAAATAAATGTGTTTTAATTCAGGTTTAGAATAAAAGCGTAAACTCCTTTTACAACTTTGGACAGTGTATCTTCTTGTCTTCAGAATAAACACAGACTACATCAAAAGGATGTAAACTCTCTTACTGGTGAGTAACTGCCAGCCTCAAGTAACACAGCTCAGCGAGTACTGACGGTCCTCCTGCCCCTGTGCATTGCACGGACAAACTGCTTCTCCAGCTCCTGGGTCTACCCTCTACAGAACACCACGTGAACCAAAGATCTACCCAGAGTTCTCTACCTCTGCCAAGCTTGTGTCATCTTACTTGGCTGAGTTGCACAGTGCTGTTCCTTCTTATACGGCTCCCTTCCTAGTCTTTCTCAGCAGCTGCTCACTGAGGCACCATGGTGCCACACCAGCTTCCATCCCCATCATGCTGCTCTCTTGAGTGCCAAGAGCACCCTCATCCGGGTTAGACAACCACAGCCTCCACAATGTGCATGTCAGGGAGCAGTTTCCTTCAACCAGCAATGTGAGAACAGAATGAAAGCAGCTGAGTGATCCTGCCATTCACGACAGCCAGGTCCAGCCCCGCGGGGTACAACAGCCCCATCTGCTGGCCCCTTGTAACTTTTCTCCACAGAATCTGAAGTTTTTGGTTTTCTCCTTACAGAAGCTGAACTTGACAAATCCTGGCAGCCAGCCAGGCATGATAGTGCACACCTGTAATCCCAGCACTCGTGAGGCAGAGGCAGGCGGATTTCTGTGAGTTCCAGACCAGCCTGGTCTACAAAGTGAGTTCAGGACAGCTAAGGTCACAAAGAGAAACCCTGTCTCAAAAAATCGAAAACCAAAACGGAAAAACAAATCCCCGCAGCCACTGCACTGACAGCAAATGGCACTGGTTTACATCTAGATGTGACTTAGTTTACACAATCACTAACAGTTCAGCATCATTAGGTATGAATCACCACATGGACTGACCTTTCCTTTGTTTTCACACTTTGAAAAGTGTGAAAAGTGTATTATAACCTATCCGTAGAATAACCTAAAAACACCTGTGTGCCTGCCTGTGTGTCTGGAATCTTTAGCCATATAGGAATCTATAGCCAAATGTAGACAGCAATTAAGACATCATTAGTAATAAGACAGAAAAGTAAAAAGGATTCAGAGACCTGCATTTGCCTTTCCTTTAAACAACAGTGCTCTAGAATTTAAAGGTACATACCAAAACTGTTAAGTCTCTGGATCCAGGGAGCCAACTTGGGATCTACCTCTTTAAGTTCACTCAAAACATGCAGAAATATTCGTGTCTGCACTCTGCTCTTTTCTTGGACCAAGTGCTGGATAACATAGTCCACAGCTTCACGGAGGAAATTCTTGCTGGAGAAACACGCTGTGTAGTCTTCTGTGCTCAGGACCTTCCAGGAGAGCAGCTCTTTGAGAAGCGGAGAAGTGTTCAATACTCCAGCTTTAATCCTGTCGGCGTTCTGCTTTATGCACTGCAGGATTCTGTCATCAAGAAACTGACAGCTCTGAGCAGTGTCTACAGTTTCTAAGGAAAATAACAAAGGTTAAAGGTCAAGTAGGACTACTTGCAGTTATACAAACTTGGAAGGAGACGATGTAGCATACACAGTAACATAAAGCACGGCTGCTTTCTTTCTTCTTTTCTTAATTTCTATACAGAGAATATGAACACAGTTCCCCATGAGCACAAATTCTGCAGTCAAGTGTCATGCATCTGGGGACCCTGTAGGAGCCAGCATGTCCACAGTGCCATGGAAAAACCATCTTGTGATCATGGTATCTCCTCTACCAGGTAACATGCTGATTTCTGGTTTTATTTACACAAACAACTCAAAAACTTCTTTGAAATACGCACTTTAATAGGAACCCTGAAAAGCAGAAAGTTCAAAGTTTGGCAGGAAAGCCAAAAATTGAGAAAAGAGCTATTTGGGAGGCCAAGGCAGGAAGATCACAAGTTCAAGGTCCACTTGCTCTAAGTTCTGAATGGGCAGCCAAGGTCAACATGAGCAGAGTGAAACGACCTCAAAATACAAGGCAGAAGAGGGCTAGGCTCAGCTCTGCTCACTGCGCTTAGCAGGCTCCTGGTTCCAGCCACAGCACCAGAACCCCAAACAAGTACCTTATGGTATCTTTTTCACATCACTAACGTAACAGCATCAAAAACCTTATTTCCTCTAAAATAAGCTTTCTTCTCTCAAATATTCTACCCTGGCCTCACAAACTAAACTTTAGATGCAATATGGTTTGTCTGAAAGCATGCAAAGTTAATACATTTGCTGAAAAAACTTCAGTATGAAAGGTAATTTTGATTTACTTTGAGGCATTTTCCAAATACCAGGCAGACAGATGAAAGGTCAAACAGTAAATAAAAAATATTTCATATAAGGAACATACAACAGAAAACGGGGAAGTGTTACTTCAACTTACAACTGAAAATGAATATGTGAGCTAGCACGAGCATGCTCACAGACATCGTAAATCGCCTGCGAGACAATTTCCATGCTGCTCAGGTAATGAGAGCACGAGCGTCAACTGGGCAGCCTCTAATCTGTCGGAACGCAACACTGTTTTGCACTATTCCACATAACGTAAGCGCGTTCACAAGGCAGGGACTTAGATCCGTTAGCACAGCTCACAGCGCCCTGTCAGACAAGACAGCAGCAGCTCAGGGGCGCTGCCGTCACTGGTTAAGAGGCTTGCGGAGAGTAAGTGTCTTGGGGTTTTGCTTTATTTAACACTAAGGGTGCTCTATACCAACCTCCTTGTCTAGAAAAACAGAAGGCTGTATGTGGTTGTAGCTTTTGCCTTTTTGGGACACAGTCTTGCTTGCTATGTATTCCAGGATGACCTCAAGGTCACAGCAACCTCCTGCTACCACATCTACCTGTTAGAAGAGGCAGCATTGAGATCTAAGGAAAACCTGGTTCTTACACTAACTGAAAGTGATACTGGAGTCAGTAAAAAGTCACATGATGCCACATAAAATGAACACCCACATTCGTTCTTTTAAGCAGGTAAACACTATCCTCATGGCTTGCACTTCCACGTACCTTCTGGCTCTTCAATTCTGGGTAAATTACTTTCTTTTAAGTCCTCTTGCATTCGTTCTTGTGCTAATTTTTTTGCTTCTTGTTTCTGGATCTTTCTCTTCAATTTTTTTTCTTCTTTCAGTCTTAATTTCTCTAGGCTGATAGAAACTTCCAATTAGTGACAATTTATTTTGTTACAAGCTGTTGTCTTTGTCCAGTACAGAAACAGTCTACACCAATAGGTGGAGACAACTTCTAAAAATCAGAACCTGTCCTATAACCTCTGCTCAACCCCAAACCGACTGATCTATGACATCAATTCAGTCAAAATCAGGAACTTATTCCATGAGAGCAAGCACCGCAACAAATGACTTATGTCTAGCTAAGGGCACACAGCAGGGAACCACACAGATGCCGTGTCCAGGTGCACAGACTACTGCACAGCACAAAGGGAAAAAAAAAGAGTGATCTGCAAATCCATGTGTGAACCAATAATGCCCTACAGCATGATAATTTGGTTGATATGCTTATAGTGAAAATTTTCCCACTAACAATTTTGTTCATCTTTTGCTTTCTCTTGGTCACAAATGGTAGAAATAAGAGAGAGAAGACTCACTCTTTATAATGAGCAGAAGCACGACCAGAAAGAAAAGAAAAAAAGGACTACAATTATTTTTATGTGCACAACTTTAAAACACAGCCTAATTTAGAAATGTATTTACTATACTCATATTCTGTAAGACATCAAAAGACTTCTGCTTGCTGTTAAAAGCCTTACCTGGAACATTTCTGCTTCAGAACAGGTCTTGAAGGAGCCTTTTCCTTTATGACCTTGTGTTCGAACTTTAAATAAAACACAGACATCAATGCTCCTCTCATCCTACCATGACACAAGAACAAAAGCATGAGTAACGAGCATCTCGGAAGCACAGTCACCGTTAATGGCAGAAGTGGAATACTCTGACACCACAGAGCCCCGAACACTTTCACAGAATAACTCACTGAAAAGAGGAGCAGAGTCCCTAACACTTTAGGAAGAAGTTTTTAAAACATTACAAACAAGCAGAGAATCCAATAAATAAATGTTATTAAGCTACTTACTGCTGTCATTCCTAGGCTGCAAAGTTTAAAATAATCTAAGGCCCTCTCCCTGCTTCTCTAAAAGCCCACACCCCCACCAATACCTAAAAGTTTGAGGAGCTTAAGAAAAAATACAACCAAAGAGCAAAACCAATACAACTGAAATGTAAACTGCTCCTCCCACATCAGTGAGCCAGAATGCCTCACTGCAGTGTGTACTGGAACTACCCTGCGTTCTCCAAGACCACACAACACAACTCTACACACCCAAGCCATGTTTACAAACGGTGTACAATTCTCTCAGTTTCATGAAGCTTCTCTTTGGTACTTACTTCACACTTAACTTGTCCACCACTGCTGAAGATGATAATCTTAGAAATGATTCCCTCACAGTCAGGGGTGAGACAAAGTCCTTGTAGAAAATCCTTTTAGATTTAAAAGAAGAAGATTAGGTCTATGTACATCATTATAGGCACAGAGAATTGATAAAATATATTATAAAGCTTCCCTCAACAAGCCCTGAATTATCATACAAAGAGTGTACTTTCTGAGTGTGGTTCTGACCACGCGACCACCTTTGGTCAACGCAAAGTGAGCCTACATGACGTGAAACGTCTCAACAGCAGCTCAGTCCCTTCAGGGAATGGCCACGACAGTTCCCTTCTGATACAGGAACATTTTCCAGGAGAGGCCATTCTTCAACTTGCGTTCAGAAACAGAGAATATGGCACACAGAACAGAGCTGCCATCACTCAACCCTGATCAACTGCTGAAAACTTTTAATATATATATATATATATAAATATAATAAAATATAAACTATATATAAACCATATTATATATTATAAACTTTAATATTATATTTAATATATAATTAGATACTATAGTTATAGTAATATAATGATACATTAATGTATATTCATAATATATTAAATACTTTTATATATTATAATTTTATATGTATTACTTATATATTTATAACATAAATATATAACATATATAAATACATATTTTATAACATATTTTATAATATAAAATGTTATATTTGTTATTTTATATTATAAATAAATAATATATAATATAAACATACAATAATAAAATAAATAATATAATAAAAGTATATGATATAAAATAGTATAAATATGTTTTAATATTTAATATATAATTGTATATTATATTATATTATAAACTTTTAATATATATAATACATAATCATAGATATATCAAGAGATAAATTTCTCATTGCAAGACAGAGAGACTGAAAGATCTGTGGAGCATATTTAGAATCTGGAAACTAAATAAAACTGGACAAGTAGACAACTTGGTTCTTAAATTGGTTTCTTAAATTTTGGTAGAAAGCAGATTTTGAGACTGGTGACTAAATGGACAATCTCTGGAGAACAATACTGTATGCTAACACTAAACATTTATACATTTACTTTTGATCACAATGATCAAAATGCACAATTAAGTAATTGGCTTTATAGTCACTGCTTTCGTTCCTTGTTATTAGTGTAATGAAAAACCTTCTAATTCTGACTACAATGCCCAGGAAGAAAATACACATTTGCTAAAGACTCCAATTTTTTTTCAGAGGAAAAAAAAAAATCAATATACAAACAATACAAAAATGTAACCTTATGCCTTACCTTGTCAATTTTATCATTAAAAGTTGTTGCTTTTAGCTTTTTCCAGCAGTTGATGTGAAATTCTACTTTACAGTATTGGCAGCAGCTAATTCGTATAAAACCCTGGGGTTCAAAAGAAGAAAAAAATGAACAAACATTGGAATGTCTATACTATACACTCACAATAGCATCCACTGAGATAGCTAGAAATCTGTATACACCAGCAGACATAACATAGTATTTCCCTATGGTATGACACAACTTCTGCTCCCCAAACATCTGGCTTTGGGGACATTTTCACTTTTACAACAGGAAAGCAACTATCCTTCCTAATATATCGAATGTTATATAGATATCACTTCATCTGACCTACAGCTACTACATTTTGTTTTTTAGTTTTTTCCATTTTATTTATTTATTTATTACAATTTATTCACTTTGTATCCCAGCTGTTGCCCCCTCCCTTATCTCCTCCCATACCCCTCTCCAAGTCCACTGATAGGGGAAGTCCTCCTCCCCTTCCCTCTGACTCTAGCCTATCAGGTCTCATCAGGACTGGCTGCATTGTCTTCCTCTGTGGCCTGGTAAGGCTGCTCCCCCATTAGGGGGGAGGTTATCAAAGAGCAGCCACTGCGTTCATGTCAGAGAGAGCTGTTTATTTTTGGGGACAAGGTTTCTCTGTATAACAGTCCTGGCTGCTATGGAACACGGTCTGTAGACTAGGCTGGCCTCTGCCTCCTGAGTACTGGGATTAATGGCATGTGCCACCATCTCCAGGCTCAGCTACTACTTTCTTAAGTGAACTAATCATTCAGTTAAGTGACAGATTTGTCCTTAGTTAGGTCTTTACTGGATAATTACCTACAGGATAATCAGACTTCAATGGGCTTTAAATTTCCATGTTCAAAATTTATAACACATTTAAAATGCAACAAGTCATTTTGTTTTCAATGTTTCAGTGGTGAGAGGAGAAAATGAACTTTCTCAGGTTACCAACCAATCCACCCACATCATTTACTTTGGTTACAACTCTGGGTTTCCATGTAAGATAATAAAGATAAAGAAGTCTAGAGGAATGGGGACATAAAAACGACACCAAGCCAGAGAACCTCGGAGCCTCCACTCAGAATATATTACAGCCGGGCTCAACAGCACAAGCCTATACTTCTAGCACTCAGGGAGGCAGAGGGGCAGTGCTGTGAGTTCAAGGCCAGCCTGGTCTACAAAGCAAGTCCAAGACAGCCAGGGCTACACAGAGAAAAACAAAACAAAACAAAATGAAAAACAAAACAAAAACAAAAGCACCTATTCTGAACTAACTTTGAGACACTTCTGCAAAACAGTTCACTACTTACCTTAAAATCTGGATCAGTTAGGTATATCTGAATTTTGGAATATCCACGGCACTTCGGATAGCAACAAACAGCATCTGGCACTGGGGGAAACTTGCATTCTTCAACAAACTTCTCTAACATCACCTAAAACAAGATAAAGAAAACGAAAAATACTGTCACAACACTAATGTACCAACAAAAATGCTTGTGATTCCAAGAACCTCCTGCTCCCAAACACGGTCGGACTAAGAGCAAACCATAAATTCCTGTTGGGCTTTTTCTTTAAAAAGGTCTACACAGGTGGGGAAAAGGCTATCTTTAGGGTCTAAGCTTTACACTGTTGTAGCCACAGAGCCTCACTTCACAATTTTCAGTTCTTGGGAATCTCAGGGGTTAAGAGAGCTCTTCCAGAGCGGCCACCCCTCAAGCCCTCTGAGCGCCTCTGTCGTAACACCCTGGAGAATTGACCCTGGCCCCCGCAGCTCCCAACAGATTCGTGGCAGGCGTGCCGTGCTGCTCTGGCCTCAACTGCTCCTGGGCCTCTGCCCAGCCTGTATGGAGACATGAGCACCTACAGCCCTTGGCTTTGCTCTTCCTACAGGCTCCCGAGCTGTCACTACTACAGCAGACAAGCCGCACAACAGTGCAGCACAACGCTCCCATTTACGCTTGCTTCACCTTCTCACGCTCTCAAGGTCCCTCCATGCTGTGACATGCACCAGTCAAGTGACACTCCAGTCATTTCCTCTCTCAGCCACAGCTCAGACCCTACCCACTTCAGGCTACTACAGACTCCGCTGGTATGAACATTCAAGTTCTTTTGAGAACATGCTTTCCTTTCTCTGTACACACGGAGGTATGTAATGGCTGTGTCATCCAGTAACTCTGTACGTAAGTATCTGAGGAAATGTCGGCCATTTTTACACAACTGTACCATTTCCTATTACAACCAGCAATTCATCAACGTTCTGCTCTCCTATGTCCTTGCTACAGCCGAGTAGGGCACACTGGCACTTCACTCTCGCTCTCACTTGTATCTCCCCGATGCGAGACTGTGCTAAATGGCAACCTTTTTAAAATGTTTGTTTATTTTACATACGTGAGTGCTCTGTCTGCATGTACATTTTTAGATGGCTTTCCGGGAATTGAACTCAGGACCTCTTTTTCCAGCCCCTAATTGTCAACTTTTATACTTTCTTTGTCTCTTTAAATCTTGTGTACCTTTTAGTTATTTGTATTTTTATGGAGTTTTAAAAGACTGAGCACACGTGAACGCTGTGAGCTGGGGCTTTCCTTGGGGAGAGTGCTCAAGCACCTAGAACTGGACGCTGGGTGGATACTTAAGGTCACAGTTGCGACTCTGGGACGCACTGATGGTCCTTACGGCCCCAGCATGACACTGGCTTCCAGTCTGGGCAAGGCTCTGCACCTCTGACTACAGCAGCTCTAACCCACTCCAATGCCATGCCCACACCTACATGCAGCAACACATCCTGCCCAATCACGCACAACCCTGTAGCTTCCCTGCTGCTGAGCCTTCTGCTCGCCACTTAAACCCTCCATGCCCGAAACAGGGGTGGTCAGACCATCAACTCACAGGGCTGCTTTAAGGAACTGACCATACCCAGAAGGTGTAAGACCACACAAGAGCACTCAGGGCGTCGTGCCAGGAGGAGTGGTCGAGCACACTCCTTCTGTCCTCTGGTTCTAACTCTCCCTGTAGAAGAGCTCTCAAGCCAATATCAAACACTTGAATAGATAAACTTACCTGGATTTTTTCTGGCTTAGATTCTTCAATAATGACATTACTTGTGGGCCAAGTTAGAATTCCAGGGAGACGATAAATCAAAGTCTTTGCTTTTTCAAAGTGATTGAGAGCTTCAAGAAATCTAAAGCCACAATTGGGAAGAAAGAAGACATTAAAGATGTGACATAATATTTTATTCCACAATAAAACTCACCAAGACATCTGGCCTATCAAAGAAAGATCACATGATATATCGATAGACATAACTATTAAATGTAATATATTTCCTTTCTAAAAATTAAAACATGATTGTAGCTTCCTGTTACAGAAATGTAAACAAAGCACATCTCTGTCCTAGAATCCCCTTCATCCCTGATCCCAACCACGGACAGTAAAACTAAAACTTTCCTTAGTTTTGAAAACTAGTAAAGAAACAAAACTTTCCTCAGTCTTAAAAACCAGTAAAGAAGTTGTAGGCACACACTAAGATAGAGATTCCAAGAATATCGTAAAACTTCTTAAAAGTAGAAAATTTAAGGTTAACTAAGTATTATAAATGATATTCAATTATCAAGAGTTTTTCTTCTATGAAAGAATCTAAAAATAATACAAGGGTCCCCACAGACTCGTCTTAAACCCTAAGCCTGTGTCATGGGCCACAATTTAGGGAAACAGGACTGAGACAAGAAACACTCCGAGAGCGTCACAATTAACTCAGAGCAAGCATTAGAACTCAGCTACAGAAAGGTTTACAAAGCAGCCTCTTAGCCGAACTTGTAGTCTTTGAACATGTGAACTCCTCATTCCCTACATGCTCTGAGGATGCCAGTACTAAAGCTACTCACAATTATGAAACCATGCCACAGGGAAGATGGCAAAGCAACCCCAGGATCTGGAGGGACATCCCAGCAAGGCATTGGTTGTACCACCACGAAACCCGGCTCAGAATCCCAGCACCTACATATAGGTCCAGTGCAAAAGTACAAGTCTGCAATCCCAGTGCTGGGGGAGGGATAGTGGGGGAGACAGGTAGATCCCAGGGCTCCCTGGCCAGTCCGGATTAGTTGAAACAGCAAGCTCCAGGTTCAATGACACACTTTGTCTCAGAAACTGAGGTGGAAGGGAGATGGATGGCTCGGAGGATAAAGGCATTTGACACAAAGCCTGAGGACCAGAGCCTCCCACCTGAAGCCCAAGTGAATCTGGGGGCGCAGAGCTTAACAAGCTGTGCCCTGAGGTCACATGAAGTGCACATGCAATGTCTACATATGCACAGCCACAATTAATTAAAGAAATGTGGTGGAGCTGGGTGTGGTGATGCATGCTGTTAATCCCAGCATGTGTGAGGCAGGTGCACTCTTGTGAGTTCAAAGCTTGCCTGATTTACACAGCAAGCTCCAGGCTAGCTAGAGCTATACACTAAGACCCTAAAAACCTAACAGAAAATAAACTAGGAGCTGGACAGACAGTGGCTAAGAACATCTGCTGCTACAGCAGAGGACCATAATTTGGTTCCCAGCAAATTATTTGGTGGCAGCTCAGCAGTTGCAGAGGATCTGACACCTTCTTCTGGCTCCCTCAGGCACTGCATCCATGTGGCGCACAGTATTACATGCAGGCAAACACCCATAAACATAGAATAAAAACAAATAAACCTTTAGCCAAGTGTGACAGTACACAGGTTTAAGTCAGATACCAGGCAGCAGAGGCAGGCAGATCTCCTGAGTCTCAGGCCAGTGAGGGCTACAAGGGGAGACTGTGTTTCCAAGGAACAACAACAGAATGATACTGTGAAAAGTGACTGAAGATGGCAACATCAATCTCTAGCCTGCACACATGCATACCCAAGTTCACACACATGCTCACAAAAACACTCCAACCAACCCTGCTCCAAATCCCTTTATAAAATGAATTAGTCATCACAGAGCACCAACTGGCAGTCCCAGTTTCTACTAAC